GGAGGAGGAGGAGGAGGAGGAGGAGGAGGAGGAGGAGGAAGGGGAGGAGGAGAAGGAGGAGGAGGAGGAGGAGGAGGGAGGAGGAGGAGGAGGAGGAGGAGGAGAGAGGGAGAGGAGGAGGAGGAGGAGGAGGAGGAGGAGGAGGAGGAGGAAGGGGCGCGAGAGGAGGCTTTTTTTCGGGAGGGGTTGGGCGCGAGGAGGCCCACCCAGACCCCCTCGAGGGATGAGCAAAATCAGAACGGGAGGCTTTTCGCCGTTTGCGGCCTCTGGGGGCCCCTGCCGGGCCTCGGGGCCGTCAGAGAACGACCCGGGACAAGTAACCAGTCGAGACCTCGGGGGGTCGACGTAAGGCCAAGATCATGACCTCGGGTGCCTGGGTCGGTCGGGGGCGTCCAGTTGGCGTCACCCCAACATACTCATACTATCTTTGGGTCGGGCATGTCCTTCTACAGGGGGATGTTGGACGAAACATGGAGTCAAAACATATCCCCAAATGGTCACAATGGTCAAAACATCCTCCACCTACGATTTGTTTGGCTATTTTGGAAGATTCCTCCTGTAGTGGGACGAAAAAAACAAGTGGCACGTGTGCCATGGCTCTCGCACAAAAAAGAAGGGGGAGGAGGAGGAGGTGGAAGAGGAGGGGGGAAGAGGGGGCAAGCCGTCGCCCCTCGGGGCCCAGCAACGGGGCCCAAATCCCAGGTGGGAAGAGGGGGGGAGGAAGTGTGCGTCGCGACGCGGAATAAAGTGCTCGGAGCGGAGAGGGCCCGGGGCGGAGGTCCCACTGGGGCGCTGGGGGCGCGGAGAGGAGGGGGGGGGGAGGTGGTGTGCGTCGCGACGCGGAATAAAATAGTCGGGGCGGAGGGGGCACTGGGCGGGGCTTGGGGCAGAGGGCAGCGGGGCGGGGGTCCAACTGGGGCGCTGGGGACGGGGGGGGAGGGGGGGAGGTGGCGTGCATCGCGACGCGGAATAAAATTGTCGTGGCGGAGGGGGCACGAGGCGGAGCCCCCACTGGGGCGCTGGGGACGCGGGGAGGGAGGTGGGGGAGGTGGTGTGCGTCGCGACGCGGAATAAAGCGTTCGTGGCGGAGGCAGCAGTGAGCGGGGCTCCCGCTGGGGCGCTGGGTACGCGGGGGGGCTCGGGGCAGAGAGCCACGGCGCGGGGGTCCCACTCTGGCGCCGGGGACGCGGGGGGGGGGGTGCGACGCGGAATAAAATGGTCGGAGCTCTAGACACCCTGTGCAAGAGAATGAACAGAGTCAGAACATATTTCCAAGTGGTCACAGCAGTCAAAACATCCTCCACGTACCATTTGCTTGGCTATTTGGGGAGATTCCTCCTGTAGAGGGACGTGCCCGACTGAATGCCAGCCGCGCGCCGACCCCCCCCCCCTCCCCCGCAGGGGTCGACGCACTGCACAAGCCATGGCCTCGGGGGGTCGGGGCGCCCCGCCCCGTGCAGCGCCCGCCCCCGCGGACGAGAGAGAGGCCTCCCGCGTGGGGTCGGAGTGCGGTCGGACCTGTGGGCCAGAAGGGGCCCCCCTCCGCCAGAGCAGGAGGCCCTCCGTCGGCCAGAAAACCAGCAGGACACCCACGCGGGCACCGTCCCGGGGATTTTCTCTTGGAGGGGGAGCATGGGAGCGGACCACGTGCTTCCACAGCTGACGCCGATCTCTGCACTGGGGGCTGCGGCGGGCAAACAACTCGCGCTACAACACCCAGCTGTTCAACCAACAACTCGCGCGCAAAGAAATAGTCGCCGAGACGATTTGTCCGATGAGGAGGAGGAAAGAGAACAACGAAGGGCACCGTCCCGGGGAATGCACGAGTGCATCCAGCAAACACGAAGAACGGTAGGGTGTCCTCCCCGACCGACCTCGATCTTGGACATCGGTCCGACTGTAGATGGGGACGCAGATGCATCACCGATGCATCTGCGACGTCGGCGGTGCATCGGCGCCGTCGGCGTGGAGAACATCGGGCTCCACATCGAGCGGCATCGCCGTTGCCTCAGCGATGCGGCGCGATCATCCGACTGCATCTGCTCCGGCCTCATCAGAAGGTACCGGTACCGCTACTCCCCGGGCCCCTCCCAGATGCACTCTGACCCGGATTTCGAAGCGAATCCAGCGGTGTCGACGAGGGTTTCCAGGTGGGCCCCAGAGGGGAAGACGAGGCAGATTTGGCGGTATGGGTACCTTTTCCTCCTCTGAGCCTAGATTCCTCCCTTCCTCGTTGCTCCTCTCCGCGGGTTCCGAGGATCGAGCTCCGCGAGCTCCGAGGATGGAGGGCTCTCGCGGGCCTCCTGGGGTGGGGGCCTCTCGTGCCGTGGCGTGGCCCGTTCCGAAGTTCTGGCCAGAACGCGCCCCTGGATTCCGATGGGTCCCAGGGGTCGGAGTAGATGGGGTCGGAGGATCGCGCCGCATCGCCGATGCATCGGCGAAGCATCGGCGATGCGTCGGCGATGCATGTGGGATGCCCCGGCGACGCATCGTCGACGTCGGCGATGCGTCCGCGACGTCGGCGTGGAGAAACTCGGGCAGCACATTGGGCCCCATCGGCGATGCATCGGCAATACCGCGCGATCCTCCGACCCCATCTACTCCGACACCATCCAGGAGGCCTAGAGGGACGCACGAGAACATACTAGTGCTGTGTGTGCTCCTCGGAGGCGTGCGTCCGACCCGAGCATATCAACAGAACCATCTCTGTCGGTATCTCGCTTCCCCGAGCGGGGTGGCCAGAAAGCGCTTGCCGCGGAGCACACACTACAACATTTCTCGGCGTGCGCGTCACCCCTGGGAGGGCGGTGCGCTAGTATGTTCGGGTGACGCCGATCACTTGCCCCTCCCTCAACTCGAAACCGAAAACGGCCAACGCCGATTCTGAAGGGAAGCGGCAGCGCCGCAACAACGGCACGAGAACCTGAACGAAGCGAATAGATGCAACGACTGCGACGCAGCCGAGACTCCCCTGCTCCCTCCTCCTGCCTCCCCGTTTGTACCTCCTCCCATCTCCCCTGTCCTCATTCCTTCCCATGTCCTTCCTGGCAGGACGTTGTACAATGCGGCAACCTGGGTACGTAATGCGAGCCCCTCACCTGACTGTATGTCTTTCGCCCCGTTGACATGAAGCGATCTCCACAGTGAAATCAGGAACGGCCACTGACGAACATGTCCTTGCTTTCAATGAATTGGTTGTCAATAGTCCTACTTGGACTGCACTTCGACAACTGGACCAGCTGGCAATCCACGCGAAGAATGCATGTGCCGCGGGCTGGTGCGACGTGGCGCTGGCGAAGACCGTTGAGGAGCGAGCAAGTGAGCATCACAATATTTTGACCGTGCCGCATGCGCAACGAAGGCCAAATCAGAAATGCTGCGCTCAGGACTGTGTCACTCAAACACATCGATGCCACTTGATGAGATCAATCAAGCAATGATTGCAGCACGCGCCAAGGACGGCTTGAACTGTTTCGTGATAGCAACCATGGTGTCAACGGCGATGCCCATGGTGATCATTATGGTAATTGTAGTGCCGACCCATTAGGTGGACGACATAGTAATTGCTTGTATGAATATGGGGGCCGAACGGTTGCTCAGTTGCTCAAAATATCTATCAGTAGCCGGAGCACAAGCTCATACCACCTCAGGGCTTCTTGGGAATGATGTTATCGGCGGACCGGCGAGGTTCGAGTACATCCTACTGCCCGGCGTAAGACCTCGCGAGGGGGAATGTGGGAACAACACCCTGCATGCACACAAACTTTCGCAGGTCCGCGCGGACTCGGATCGGCGATGGACTTCGGCGATGCCCCTGGACCCCAGGGGGCGGTGGACATGGACATACATCCCCGTGAAAAAAATATGTAACAAAAGCGGCGTAAGGATGGAAGCCGAAAAGATGTTGAATCAGACCAGGCGGGGCCCGTCGCATCAAGGGACATCCGCTATCAATGTTACGGAAAAACGTTTCGTCTGCATTGCGCGTTGCATGTTAATCATCCGACTGTGTAGCAGGCTTCCAGGTGAAGGAACAACAGAAGGCATGAACAGAACCCTCTCGGAGGTCCGCGCCGACCTCCGAACGCTGATGCTTAGGCAACTGCTGGCGACGCGCAGCGGGGAGGCAGGGGGAGGGGGGAATGCTTCTTAGACGGAGGCTGCTTCATAGAAGGCGCTGGCCTCACGTCTATAGACGGGGCCCGCGCCTTCAAAGAAGCAGAAGTGCTTGTAAGACGCCTTCCCACCTCACCCTACCCCGCTGTGCGCGTGGCTGAAACGTCTCTTCTTCGAGAGGGGGCGAGGGGGGGGGGCGGAGCCGGAGGAGAGCCAGGGAACGAGGCGCGAGGAAGAGGGCGAGAGAGGGCACAGGGGAACGGGAGGGGAGACATCGAGGAGCACCGTTCGAAACGAAGGCAGGTGCGGCGGGCTCCCGACCCCGCGGCCCCACCACGCCCGACTGGCAGCGCTCAGCGGAGATGATGGGCAGCGCTAGCGGGATGCATCGACCTGGAATTGGCGATACATCGTCGATAGATTGGCGATAGGACCCCGATAGCAAAACCGCACCTTCCTGGGCAGGTTGAGTCTATCGGGCCCCTATCGGCGATCAATGGGCGATCGGGGGACGATGCATCACCCCCTATGCCTATCCCCCCCTGTCGTTGCTCCCGTGGAGAGCCTGGTGCAGCACTGGCGGCCCGAAAGCCGCGAGAGACCGGTTCAACTCGGCCAGTCTCAACTCGGCCAAGCTCGATTCGGCCAGGCTCAACTCAGGTCCGAGTCGAGCCTGGCCGAAAGGAGTTGAGACGGGCCGAGTTGAGCCGGCCGAGTCGAGCCCGCCGAATTGAGCTGCCAGAGCGCCGGCCGAGTTTAGCCTGGCCGAATTGAGCCTGGTCGAGGTGACCCCTGGCCGAGTTCAGCCGCGGCCGAGTTGAGCCCGCCGATGTGATCTGGCCGCGTGGAGTCCCGGCCCGACCCGAAGAGCGCAAGGAGGCGTCCTGAAGCTCTCCGCGAGCGCCGCGGCCTGCCGCGCCAGCTCGGCCGAGAGCTCGCTGCGCCAGGCGGCGAGGCGCAGGTCCTGGGGGCGGCCGCGTCGCCCCAGCCGCCCCCAGGGCGGCCACGGGCGGCGAACGTGCCCACACGTTTTCGGCGACTCCGAAGGGTGTGGCTTGCAGAGCGGTCGGAGGGTCGCGCCGCGTCGGCGCTGCCTCGGCGCCGTCGGCGTGGTGAAAATCGGGCTCGGCATCGAGCCGCATCGCCGGTGCCTCGGCGGCGCGGCGCGGCCCTCCGGCCCCCTCTGCTCCGGCCCCCTCTGGGAGACCCAGGAGGTTCGGAGCCTGCACCTTAGGGGGGGGCGGGCGAGGACCTCGGCAGAGATCTCCGCCGCGCCCAGTGCGAGGGCTCACCAAACCTCGGGAGCAGCGTGGTGGCCCCATAAGCCCCGACGGCGCCGACCGCAGTCCAAACAACTGCGTAGACACGCCAATTGTAGTCGCCAATTGTTCACCAACCAAGGGGAGCCAAGTGGCAATAGAGAGAGAGGGAGGGAGATACAGACAGAGAGACAGCGAGAGAGAGAGAGAGAAAACAAAAAACTTAACACACACACACACACAAAACAAATCCGCCGACCCTGTCGGCGTGTGTGAGGGGCTTCTCTGTTCGACTCGTCGTCTCCGTCGTCTCCGTTCTCCCCCTCCCAGGGCTCTCCTCCTCAAGCGCGCTATCCAAAGCGAAATTAAACGACGTCGTAGTGGAGTCGAAGGGAAGCCCCTTCCCTTTGATCCCTTCCCCGGAGGGGGGGGGGG